CTGAACATCGAGAAACTCGGTATCGTGGGAAAACATCTGCGCATGATTCGGGATGTTTCCGTCATTGTTTCTTTTCACATACGGAATGTCTACTCTTATTGATGCGAGGGTAGCCATGCTGCTGTTGTTGCTGACGGTTGGCGATTGGGTTACTCCTGGCCCGTGATTTGCGCTTCATGAACTCTGTTAAAACGAAGAGGAGGGAACAAGTGCGTAAGTCGAAGACGGGTACGTGTTCCTTCATCACGTTCTACAACTTCCTTCCCTTATCTTTGCGCGAGTCAGAATCGTCAAATCGGTCTAACCCCGGAAATCTGCTCTCTACAATTTTCTCCGAAAGAAGCTTGACCTCAATTTGTGCTTTAATTAACGTGATATGGAAAGTGTTACCGCTTAACATGATTGGTCGCGCTTTACACGTGGGGTCTCCACTACTGAACTACACCCGACGGGATGCGAAGGTCTCGTGAGTTGAGCAGTCAGCGGTGTACAACAGTATGGGGTTATTCCGACGGCTGTCTCCAGAGCGGGGTTCTGCGCCCGTTGTGCGCCCTAGGGATTATCTGGGAAAGTTGTCCCCAGCAAACGGCGCAGGTTCATCATGGCCCAATGTTCTTTCCGATTCCCATGACTTTCCGGCGTTCCAATAGTTGACAACACGACGCGGTCTTTCATGATACTCGTTGTAACTACTGGTCGTGGCATTCCAACTGATGATTGGTGAGTAGGTACTGACATTACATTTATTTTGCCAAGAGAAACCTGCGTATATTCATCGCCGGCGAGCCGCCTGTTGCCCTTTGCAGACCGTATGGTGGGGCGTCTGATAGACAGCAAGACTTCAAATGCCGAGAATGAGGCGGGAGGAACGTCAACTTCTGCACGTCCGTCGCTCATCAACCTCTACTAGCTGCAGCTGGCCAGCTTGAGCTTAAATGCCACCTTTCTCAGCCATCCCAGCAACTGCTGGCTCTACTGTACAATGATCGGCGGCTGTAATTGAAACTATGGGATTGCTTGCTATGTTGAGAAAGTTTCTGAAAGATCTGAGGGGTTTTATAGTGGAGTGAAAAGCAATAAAAGCACCTCAACACGTGTTATGCATTGCGCTAAAACATTGTTGTGGATGTTCGCCACATCATCGCAATCAGTAGTCTCTTGCAGCGTCACACGACGGGCTGTGCTATTCTCACCCACACATATTTGAGACGAGAAAGCGCTCAGCTAGTAACTATTATCTACTTGCCAAGAGCCTACAATTTGAGATCAAAATGATGGCGGTAGCATTGCAAGTGGTGTTGCATGATGGGCTCAGCACAATCAATGCTCTAGATGAAGGACTCGAGTACTTCGGGCAGCAGAAAGGTTCTTCGCTAAAAGACAAACGGGGGCCATCAGTGAATGAATCCAAATAAGAGACTTTTGGCTTGGGAATAAATTGTTGAAAACGCGTTGAGGAGTCTGGCCCTTCTCGATCCAGAAATATTGAATGTCTAATTGACGCCTAGATATGCAAGCCACTTTTGCTCCTTGCACTCGGCATCGATTTTAATTTCCACAGTCATCTAGATATAAACTGCCTGTTGCAGTTCTCTTGTCGTAGAGGTCGTCACTCAACCCGGCTGATATCCTCTTCCTACCTACACCACTTGCACGCCTACAATGCATTCTTCAATCCTGGCAGTCCTCCTTTTCATTTTCCTTGTCAACGCTGCAAGCACACCGCCAGATGCTCGATGCGGTAAAAAGTTCGGAAAAACATGCCTGAGTAGCACGTCTGGCTCGTGTTGCTCACAGAATGGCTGGTGGTGAGTAAACTATATGTTTACATCTCCCGTTCAACGCTGACCCAAGACCATAGCGGGAGCACATTTCACTACTGCAACATAGGATGCCAACCTGGATATGGAAAATGCAAACAGAGGCGTTCCTTGCCCTATAACTCGTCTTCATCTACTCGTACTTCCCCGACTTCCACGCGCTCATCTTCGACTTCTACAACACCCTCGCTGAGTTCTACTCCCACATCTGCGACTTCCTCTCGTTCTCCAACGCCGTCTACCACGCAAAAAGTCTCCCCGGACGGTCGGTGTGGTGCCAGCTTCGGGGGGCAAACATGTTTGGGAAGCGACTGGGGAGCCTGCTGTAGTTCATACAACTATGTAAGTCCTTTCGTGAAGCTTCACCTCGATGGCCTTATTCTAATGCATCTCTTGATTAGTGTGGCAATAAAATCGATCATTGCAACCCTGCTTCGTGCCAACCGAAGTACGGTCGGTGCATCAAACCCTCCATGTAAACAAGCAGGTTATTATCATCCTCATCCTCATTGACGATTGCGCCATCTACAAGCCGAACAGGGACAACACCTGCCACAAGCCTTGCGACCTTATGACCTTAAAATTTCCTTCATCGTCCTCAACTAGGTGCTTAATTATCATCTTGCCAAACCTCTGCGCGTCATTCTTCATTGACACCGACCCCATCAGCAACGCAGGGTTCTCTGCATAGCTTTTCTTCTGCCTCATCATCTCCATCAGCCATCTCATCATTTTCCATAATAACGTCCCACACCCACTTTTAGCCACCCCCTATATTTAGCTACCCTATTTTCAATGCCCTTATATTTATATATATTAACTTTAACTAATATTTATATATATTATAATACTATAATAATATAACTTTTACTATTACTAGGGTTTTTAGACTTACTAGATTTATCTATACTACTTTTAAGTTTACTTACTTTAATTTAAGCTTTCTAAATAGCTTTAATATTAGTAAACTTTAAATTTAAGCTTATTTTAACCTTCTTCTATTTTCTAGCCCTATTAGTATTAACTTCTACTTATAGGGCTTTAATCTTTTACTAAGCTATTACTAATTAATATACTTTTTTATTAAAGCTTTTCTAAATTTTCTAAAAAAGTAAGTACTATATATACTTATTATTATTTAGCTTACTAAATAAGTTAAATTAATCTTAAAGTTTATTCTTTTTCTTAGGGGTTAATTAAAAGATTATAGATATATTTACTACTTATTTTTTATTTACTTTACTATTAGAGAACTTTTTATAGACCTAATTAGTTAGTTTAATAGAAGTTAAAATATTCTTAAGTAGTAGAGAGCTTATAAGAAGTTTAGTTATACTAATAAGCTATAAATTAGTTTATTTCTAATTACTAATAATATTCTTACTTATTAAGGCTACTTTATATATTTTATTATAATATATAATAAAGTTTCTCTTATTTATAACTATATTAATATCTTATTTAGCTAGTAATTTAAGCTTTTTTTTATATACTACTTTAAGAAGCTTAAAAACTAACTAATTAAATAGCTAAAAGATATATAATATATATACTAATAAGAATAGTAAGTATATCTTATTCTTAAAGTATATATATATAAAAGTAGTAGTTTTATAGTTTCTATAACTATTTAAAATTAATAATCTAACCTCTAAGAAGTCTTCTAGCTAAATTAAAGAAATAAAAACCTCTATTAACTACTTAATAGCTATAAAGTTTAAAGTTTATTTATTTTCTATAGTTATAAACTTCTAGGATTTATATAGTATTAAATTTAAAGGAAATTATTACTATTAAATATTTTTACTTTTATATATAATAAGTAGAAGTAATATCTTATTAGTTATAAAAATATACTTAATTAGAGATATTTAAGTATATAATCTAAGCTATTTCTTATAAATAGAATAAGTTTCTAATAATCTAAGAATAAACCTATTTAATTCTCTACTTTTTAGAATATTAATTTTATTTATATTATATTAATTAGAAACCTTAATAGCTATAATCTTAAGTATAGTGAGGTATTTAAATTATTATTTAATTATATTAGTTAAAGCTTTATTAATATATTAGGAATTAATTACTTTACTTCTTTAGACCTTTATAGATAGGTTCTTTTTAATAAAAAACTATACTTAGTTCTTTCTAAAAAGTTAAGAGTCCCTATAGATTTATAAGATATATTTAATAAAATCCTTAAGTTATTAATAAATTAGAGGTAAGCTTAAAGTAGCTTAAATTTAAACCTATTTAGCTAAATAGCTTTCTTAGTTTATAGAGAGTTTTTATAAATTAAAAAAAACTATATCCTTTACTTAATAACTTTTTATATAATTTTTTAATATTAATTATAGTATACTTTATTTAAATATAGTTTTTTTTATACTAATACTATATATAATAACTTTAAGAGCTTAGTTAATATTATTTTTAGTATATTAAAATATCTTAATTAAAAGAAGATATATATGAAAGATAAGGGCGATTAGATTAAAATTAGTAAAGTTGTAGAAGGTTGAAGTTGGTAGTTATTATAGCGGTGAGGCATTTTTGGGGTAGCCAAATGTGGGGGGTGGCTAAAAGTGGGTGTGGGATGTTAGCAGCATTGTCCCCCACACAGGGATCTGCCTGTTCGTTCAGTGCGACACCTGACGTCGCCTCCGTCATTTCCTCTACCGTACCAACAATGTCGACACCTACCCCAAGCCTTTCCCCAGGTAGAGTGAACGTTAGCCTCGAGAATGGGCTGTCACCACGGCGACTTCAGGGCTCCGGGCGCCGATGTCGTCGCGAGTGGCGTCAAACATGAGGAAAGTCGTACAGGAACACACGCTTTACACCCAGTTGGAGTCGAGGCAAAGTGGTTCGTCGACATATGAAGTCTTTGAAGTCACCCTCTACACGGCGTATCACGCTGACCGTGGTGCGGTAATCAGAGCGACCTTTGCTGAATGAGACCGCTCGCGCTGCGGTGTGACTTAGATTAGAGCAAATAGAGAAGAAGGAAAAGTTTCATTTCATTACTTGAATATTCTTCATTCGTTCGAAGGCGCTGCACGATCTATGATCTATGCCTGTCTAATCTTTGCTACATGTTTCATCTGGTGTATCTATACTCTAGATCGGACGCCGCTAAAAACAACGAGAGAATGTCATTCCCATCAGCAAATCCTCTTTCTACTCCTTCACGGCATACGTTCTACGGTACGCCTCATCGATTTCCTTGAGATAGTATGTGCCTGGGGCCATGTTCTCAATGCTGCCAGTGGGCTCAAAGCTCTTGGCGCCGTAAGCCTTCAATCTGAGGGCGCAAGCCTGGTTGTATGCGGTTAGCAACTGCTTCAAATTATAACATCCGACATGGCTGATTACCTCTTCATATTCCTCGGGAGTTGAAATCTTGCGCTGACTCAATCGGTCCATGATATCAATCTTTTGAACCAGCTCGGTAAGATCACCTGTGACCTTAAGCGCGAACAGAGTACTGGCGATTCCGCTACCGTACTGATAGGGAAGACAATTAGTAAGAAAAAGAGCCTCTGAGAGCGCAAGCACCAAGTGAGCACTTACACTGAACATGCCAATCGTCTTCCCCACTGAGTCCTTCAGGTCGATGTTACTGATCAAGCTGATAAGGGAGCAGTAAAGACTGCCTGTGTACATGTTGCCGCATTGTGTGGGAGCGGCAATGCAAGGCTCGACTCGCGACTTGAAACGATCCTTGGACAAGGTGACAAAAAGCTTCTCCAGCTCCTTGCTCTTCAGGGAGTCCTCATAGCTGAGCTCGCGCAGCTCGGCGGGGACCTTCCCCCAGGTGTCCTCGTCACCACCCTGCTTGTAGTCGTTGTACAGCAGACGTCCGTAAGACTTGCTCACAAGCTTGCAGTTGGGCGTGTGGAAGGCCATATAGTCGAAGATATCCAACAGGCTGCGAGTATCAGTCTTGGGGCCGTGGCCGTTCGCCTTCACGTTGGCCTCCTCAACTCTCTCCCTAAGGCGGTTGTAGCAGCCGTCCAGCGCGGAGGTGTAGCATCGGAGAGACTCATGTCCGTTGACTACAGGGAACTCCGCCTTGAGATCGGGCTTGTAGAAATCGTAGGCATGGGTCATGAAGGTGCCCTTGAGCGCCGGATCCAGTGAGAGCACCGCATGGGGGCCCACGAGCATGGCGACACAGCCGGCGCCACCGGTCGGCCGGGAAGAGGCTTCCTTGTAGAGCGCAATATCCGATGCCACCACGATGGCGTCGCGGCCGTCCCATGAGCGAGACTCGACCCAGTTGACGGCATTAAAAAGAGCACTCGTGCCTCCATAGCACGCGTTGATGGTGTCAATACCTTCCAGGCTCGTGTTACCGGCAGGCTCGAAGAGCTGGGTAAGCACAGTCTTGATAGATTTGGCCTTGTCCATGAGGGACTCCGTGCCGACCTCTAAACGACCGATGGACTTGGGGTCGATGTTGTACTTCCTCAGAAGAGAGGACACTGCCGTAAGAGCAAGGGAAGTAGCATCTTAGGTCGGTATGTTAGTATCTTATGGACATACGTAGCGCCACTGCGTAATCGCGCTTCCGCCAGAGACAGCGCAGTTGTCGCATCACAAGCACTTACCTTCACGATCATTGCAGAAGTTCATGTACTTGAGACCCAAGCCAATGGTGTACTTTCCAGCTGAAACGCCCTGATGTTGTTCGAAGAGCGACTGGTCTAAGGCCTGACAATGTAAATCAGTTGCTGGACCAGGACGAGTATGACGCTGCGGTGAGCCGCTATGAAGTCACCAACCTGGCCGGGGACATAGATCTCCATGGCCTTGATGCCAACATTATTAGGATACGCCATAGCGAATGTTACAATTTGGAAGTGAATCAAATGACGGCGTGAGTATCTGATGGCGAGCAGTGAGGAGGTTGAGGGGAGGACCGAATAAAAGGCAGTGCTTTCTAGTAATGCTAATGCGGGGGAAACTGTTATCAAAAAGAAGATATATCTGAGAAACAGCTGTGAGGCTGTGCAAGAATGTCGGTCTCGAACGGGATTGCTGCCAACCCCGCGCGATCCTTGACAAGCTGAGGGCCAGAACAGGCACCAGGGTCCTTTTGCTTACACCCCTGTCAAAACGTAACACAGAAGCTCGCACCAGGGGATAAGCATCAGAAGTCCCTTACGTATCCATCGTATGTGCATCGCGAGTGGGGCTTGTTTGCTTCTGAAGCGAAAGGAAGCGGCACAGCGAATCTCTTTTGGGAATTGTCGGCTAGTGCCCGACGGGGTCAGCCGGCACGCCATTCCGAGGAGGTCCTCCCAATTCACTATCTTTAAGACAGTATCTGTCATTCGCATGCGCCTTTGGCTGTACACGGATTTGAAAGAGGCTCTCGGCGTAGGGACAGGAGCTACAGTGTAGCAAACAGCATTCCCATTGAACGCAAATGCGGACTCGATACGCCCCAAGAGACTAACTTCCTCTTAAATGAACGAATAAACTATTTCTTTTCTAAAACATCGAGCAGATTCAACTTTCTCAAGACATCTGTTAAGACAGCTGGGGCGTGGCGTGTGATGTGCTTCGAAAAGGGCCAGAAACCTGGCTCGACAAATCGATTCTTTCGACAAAGATGAATGGGATACTATGTTTCTTTTCGAAATCAACTACTTCTCGCCTTTGAATCTGGAGTTCAGTTGTACTATCTGCAGCATCGAGCGTTTGCTAATCGAAATTTATCCACGTACGTAACGTAACGGTACGGTACGTTTGCCACTTAGGAAATCAGGAATTCTATATCAAATCCCCAAACATACTAGGAAGCTCCATGTCCGCCTCACCGTTGCTAGAAAACATGAATGTGGTGCTTAAATCCCCCCAATCTGCTGTTTCAAACGGGAATTGTTCATAATTGACTATTGGGCGTTCTCCCTGGTGGTGGGGAGATAATACTGGATTTGTCTCAACTTCAACACCACGAGAAGTTGGAAAATTACCCGAGAGATCCTGCGTAAATACCAATGAGTCTTGGCTTTCCCCGGGAACTATTGATCCAGACTGGGATTTACAGTCATTCGATGTGGTCTTATGTCGGGAACCCTTACGACCCGAAACCCAGTCATCAAAGAGTGTATTCATGGCTTGAGCAAAAACAGTCGAAAACAGTTGCTTCTCATTGCCTTTGACGCTATTCAACAGCCCAGCAGTCTTAATCTCTTCTGCCAAAATTGCCTCGCCATGACCTCGGCAAAAGTCACGAAATAAGTGTATATCCTCTGAAACTTCAGTATCCATGTAGACTGATTGCGGTCTCTTATACCCCGGAAAAAGAACATCCCATATTGAAAACCATTGGTCTTCTGCAGAAAGTTCCTTGTCGGAATGACGGGCTAGCTGAAGACGCTGGCTGCGGGAGACGCCTCGAAGCGACGAAGAGGGCGTGCAGAACAGACCCGCGGGATTCGAGATATGTTCACGTAATTTTGTGTCGTCGGGAAAAGTCTCTGAACAGCGTTCGCAATAATATGAGGGAGTGTGCTTCCGATGAAGATGCTGCTTTACATCTCGAATACGACGAAGAATATGCTTGAAGCAAGGTCGATGTTCTGCAGGTCGTAGTTTCCAGAATGGACAACAGAAGAGCTTCGTATTCGTGACTCTTTGTTTCTTCGAAGGTCTCCGGCCAGACGCTCCCTCATCGGAATCATCTCCATCTCCTTGTGATGTTGACCTTTTCTTAGTACTTCGGGGTTGAGATTGGGGCAAGCAGTCTTTGCTTGTTTCGTTTTCGCCAACAGATGAGTTTGCTGTTATTGGCTCATTGTGGGGCCCAGTGCCTCGCTGGATATTGTTGGTGTAATCGAAAAGCAATCGACTGGCTGCAGCTTTCAAAGCAAGAGCCAACAAGCTCTGGTGGTCTATCGTGACAGGCTCCGGAGCGGACTTGATTGATAACATGTTCTGAGCCCTGCTTTCATCCGTGTTATAACTCAGAACGTTGTCGGATGTACTTCCCACGTAGGCTGCCTCATCTATGGGCGATTCGAGCTTTACTCTACTACCTATCCGGTTCCGAGCAAGGTCAAGCTCGGCTGACGGACGATGTGCCTGCAGACCTTCATTGATTAAAGAGGGAAAGTTTGAAGATCGGTCCATGTCCGACTTTCCTCTCGGGTGGCGAAGCACACTGCGAACACGAAGTGATTCGAAAGGACTCCCTCCTCGATACTCTACTGGTTGAGTCTCAGTGAGGCTAAATGGTGGTGCATATGCAGCCTCTGGCGAAATGTCGGGGAATCGTTGAGTAGTATTGTGAGGAACTCGGGGCCCTGTGATTCTCATACTATCTGGTCCATAGTCAGAGTTGGCCTCATCTAGCCACTGCGCTACGGACGGAGTGGTTCCTATCGATGGTCCTAGCTCTGTCTCTGCAACAGAAGGGTCTTCTAGGTCCAGTGACGATGACCCTCGTGACGACGAGCCGCCTGGTTGCCTATTGAGGCTTCCTTTTGACGGGAGCGAATTTCTGCTGCTATACTCGTGTTGTCGATGATAATCATCCGCCCTTGGCAACTCCGGGATGACTGTCATGGAGCCCGCGCCGTAACTTGAATGTGCGCGTGACGCATCATCACTTTCGGCATCGTCTGGTCGAGACTCATTCCGCAACGGAGTCCTGGTACGTCCATGCGTAGAGGTTGAGGTTGGTACTCGATCGTTTGAGGCTATGCGTCGGCCCGACCGAGTATCCTGCTCTGGAGAATCTGAGGTAGGCATTCTTTGTATTGAAGCAGGTTAGACCGAAAGAACCAAGACGTCAAGAAAGGAAACACAGCACAGAACATTGGTAAAATATAAAGCACTTGGCAGGAGGATGGCCTTTGAGGACATTGATGGCTCCAAAGCTCACCAAAAGATGGATGAACAAGGGAGGAAGGTGATTAGGCAGATTAGCCATCCCTAGATCGCACAAGATTGCTGTATCAGAAAGCCACGCAGGGTCCAAGGCAGACAGCGGGTATCCAACTGTATCGAGAGCGTGTTCTCTCGCTCATTGGTCTAAATTTCGCCCAATCGAGCTTGATGTATTCCACCCAATCACATCAGGCAGCACCGATGTGGTGTCTCACAGCCCTGAGGATGACTGTGCTTCACGTTTTGTGATGCTCAGATTGCTATCTGCTGCGACGGCGGTATCGTTCGTGTCGTGGTCACAGGTTTGCCTGTGCTGGTCGATGGGAATAACGTAGGAGTGCTGGGGTAACGAGGGAAAAAAGAATAAATTAGTCTGAATCCAATTTTGAGATTGTCGTAGCTGTAAACTCGCAATTCACCCTCATTCCCATTCAAGAGACGTCTCCTTGGTCGTTTCGAACGAAAACGTTATACTTGCAGTGCATTTGCAACACGAAGTTCCTCATCCAGCCTGAGATTAAGGCGATGCCTTCCTACTCCTCAGCCAGTACCAGCGGAACAGGTGAGTTGCAACCCCTTGGAAAGAGTTATGGCTAACGACGAAGACGGCCGCCGAGTCAATGCGAATTGTGTCATACTCGATAAATACTTCGCCAGTGCCCCATCTTTCACCGAGACCTTGGCGAGCGGAAACGTGGCACAAGATAGGGAAAACAAAACCAAGAAATACATTGACGGCTGGCAAGCCTCTTGGGAAAAGCTCAGTGCAGGTAGGAAGTGAGCGGCTTGAGTGAAAAGGATCTATTTCATCAATCGAAGGGATTCAGGAATCATTATTCTCGAAATAGGAAGGTAGCAAATGCATTAATTCCATTTCAACCTTTGGGAACAGATATGTAGGCGAGGTTTACTTGATAGGTCTATTAGGATATAAACAAGACTGCACTTCAAAGGACTAGGTATTATACGTGGCTTAGAGTACTAAGTTAATATCTTATTAATAATATTGCTATAGAAGCTATGGATTAGCGCCTCTATAAGGGTAAGTAAATTGATAACGTAAATAACCTAACTAAGCAAAGTGAGGCTATTGCTACTACCTAATTAATTAATTTGATATCTCTTAATTGAATTGAAATATTTAATATTTTATATTATTTATAGATTAATTAATAAGAGGCTATAGATTAGCTTCTACTTTAGTTTTCTAAATATAATTAGTTACTAAAATATAATATTATTAATAACTTATTAATTACTATATAATAATAAAGATATTTAGATAGCTTTTATAATACTAATTAATATTTAATTAATATAAAACTTTTTAAGGGAGTAGAAGTTATTATAGTAGTTTAAATAGTATAAATAATATTATAATTAAATATTATTTCTAAAAGTTATTTATTATTTTAGCTTATATATATTATTTATATTTTTTATTATTTTTTTTATATTTAGAGTTAAGATATTAATTACTACTATTACTTCTTTATTAATTAGTAATATTTATATATTATTAACTATTATATACTTCTATATCTTTATATAGATTATAACTACTTTATTTATTATTATCTCTCTAAATTTTATAATTAATAACTTACTAATTATTATTATTAGTAGTAAATAATATATATTTAAAGTATAGCTTTTATATAAGAGAGAATAAGGTTAATTTAGTTAGATTTAAGATTATAGTAATTTCTTTATTAAGGTTATTTAGGGATATATAATAAGGTTTTATTAGAGTTATTAGTAATATAATACTAAAGGCTAGCTAAAAGTTTTTAGTATTATTACTATATTTATTTTATAAAAGTATTTATTATAGTATATTAACTTAAGCTTTCTCTCTATAGTAATTATACTTTAATAAGGCTAAAGTATTTATATAATCTATAAGATCTCTCTCTAGTTAGATAAGGATTTTAATAATACTTTAATATTATTATTAATAGCTATATTTATATTACTTTTCCTAAAGAGATTTTAATTTAGCTATATAAATATATTTAAAGTTAAAGTAATTACTCTATATAATCTCTATATAGCTTTAATTATTTCTACTAACTTTTTATTTACTTATTTTAAAAACTCCTACTTTTAGTAAATACTATAATACTATAGTATAGAAATTATTAGTGAGATATTATAGAGTTATTTATCTATTTAGGACTATTTTAATAATATCTACTACTATAATAAGAGGTTAGTAATTAAAAAATTTTATATAGTAAAGTTAAAAATATACTTATTATTTAATTTATAGATATTTTTAAATATTTATACTTTTATAAGGGTTATTAGTTACTTTATTAATACTAATAGTGCTCTATAATTTTATCTTTTAGCTTTCTATTAATATTATAGTAATTATAGTAGTACTACTTTTATAGTAACCCTTATTAATATTATTAATTACTACTATATTTAGGATTAGATTAGAGTAACTATTTCTAATAATATTATAAATAATAATATCTACTTCTAAGCTTTCTATAGAGAACTAAACTTAGAGATAATAGAGATAGATATTTAAGCTTAATATATATAGTGTTATAACTATATCCTTAATCTTTTAGCTTAAGTGTTTCTATTTAGTGCTAATAAAGAGACTTTATATACTAAGTTATAGTTCTATAAGCTTAAAGGTTATAATAATAATCTAGAGCGTTAATAGTAGCTTAAACTTATTAGCTAGCTTTATAATATTACTAAATTTATCTAGTTATTCTTATAACGTTATAAATAGTATTAGAAAGCTATAATAGAGGTTAATAGAGACTTTAACTTTTAGATCTTTTTAGAGTTATGCTAAGAAGCCCTCTTTATTCTAAATAATAATATTTACTAGAATAATATATATTTTATAATCTAGAGGGCTATAGAGAAAAAAATAGAGATTTAGGCTTTTATATTATAATAAGGTAAGAGAGAAAACTTATTAATCATACTAAGCACTCTACTCTAAGTAGAAAACCTCTAAAAATACCTAGATATTAGAAGGGGGTAGAGAACTTAGAATTTTTAGTAATTTTAACTTAAAGGAAAGAGGGTAGATAGGTGTTTTTGTAGGCGTTAGGTGTTATTATAGGAGGAAAAGGCTTATATAAGTAGATAGAGGCTTAGTTAGCTTATAACGAAAAAGACTAAGCAGATAAGTAAGAAATATATTTGTTTTTATATAAATTCCTGTTTTTCTTTGATAACTTTAGTAACTACCCTCTTAGAAGAGCTTTTAGGTTTCTTTAGCTTAGCTTATAGAAAAAATTTATTAATTCTTACTTTTTAAAAATTAAATAAGAATAGGTGTTTTTAGGCTCCTCTAGCTTTAGTTAGCTTTACTTTTATCCTCTTTCTTAATCTTTATTATGCTTTTTTAATTATTTAAAGTAGAGATAGGGTAGAATACTATAGGGATAATACTACTAAACTTCTTCTTAGTAGCTTATTTTCTCTTAAAAGATTATATAACTTAAGATATAAAGAGAGTAGAAAATATAGATAAAGCATAAGTTAGTTAAGCTTATATTTATATATTTACTTTTATATCTCTTATAGTTATCTAGAAAATTAATATATAAGTATTTAGGCGTTTTTAGGGGTTTTCTACTTAGAGTAGAGCGCTTAGTATAATTAATAAGTTTTCTCTTTTACTTTATTATAAAATTAGTGATTAGTATAGGGGGGTAAGTTAGACTACTATAGAGGATTCCCTTTATAGTTATTCTATATTATTCTACTAAGCTAGAGTAGGAAAAGCTTAGAAGAAGAAGTAATTTAAGTATTATTATATTAGAAGAAAATTTAGCTAATACTTTTTTAACTTCTATTTTTTTAAGGTGAAGAGTAATAGCTTAAGTATTTAGAATTAAAGATTAACTAAACCTATAGAAGTTTAAAAGACCTTAAGAAGAAGAGTATCTAGTTAAGTAGAAGAGAGTAAGTAAGGTTCTATATAAGTTTAGTTAATCCCCTTTATTAGCTTATTATCTACTTATTTAAAATTATTATATACTACTTTATTATAAGCTATTATGATAATAACTTAAGATTAACTAAAATAAAGTAGACCTATTTTACTCTTACTTCTAAAGCTAAAGTTATAAGAGTAATAAGATTTATTTTACTCTTCTTATAAACTTTAAAAAAAATGAAATTAATTAATCTATTCTAAGAAACTTCCCTTTATTTAAACTTATTAGAAGGTTTCTAATAATATATTAACTAGTAAGGGGAAATACTAAAAAGCTTAAAAACTTAAGATCTAAGTTATACCTATATATAGAAATATTAAGATCTAACTTTCTTAAATTATAAGCTGTTATAAGCGTAAAGGTATAAAAGGCTAAAAAAGAAAAAATATTATAACTATACTAACTTTTTAAAAAAGGAAGAGAGGAATATTTTCTAAGTCTAACTAAGAGTGTTTCTTTCTTCTAAGAATAATCTTATACTAACTCTATAGAAAGAAAGATATATATATCTCTTCTATTACTCTTTCTCTATATTTTTAAGTAGTAAATAAGTAGCTAGAATAAAATACTTCTTTTAAGGTTTATAGTTAATATTATAGTTTTATTATAAACTTTATTAAATCTTAAGCTTAACTTATAAAAGAGGAGTATTATAAAGTAAAGCTATTAAGAATACTACTAATAATAGCTAGACTTCCCCTATAAGGGAAAGAAAAAGAAACTTAAGGTATAAAACAACCTTACTATTAGGATAATAGAAAAGAGGAAGGATAATGAATATAGATATACTTTTTAGATGAAAGAGAAGGATAAAAATAGAAATAATAGTAAGAGTATCCCTTTTCTTTTTTATCTCTCCTTTTATTTTCTATTATCCTTTTAGACCTATATTATGAGAATTCTTTTATTACTCTTTCTATTAATAAATTATTAGCTTTACTTAAGTTTTATATAATCTTTCTATTTTAGCCTTCTTTAAGAAGGCTTTCTTTTACTTCTTTTTTTGTTAATTTATTTATATCTTCTTTAGAATAGTATTACTAAACTCTAAAGCTCTAAAGACTTTAACTCTAGCTTAAGATAAATAACTTAGACTAGAAATAATAGATAATAAAGCTAACTTAGTTATTAGTAATACTTTAGTAAGTCTTTTTATAGGTTCTTCTTTTTATTAACCTTAATAAGAGAAACTTCTTTTAATTTTAGATTTAGATTAGAGTTCTAAAGTAATTATAAAAGCTAAGGTTTTTAAAGTAATAGCCTCTAAGGGTAGCACCTCTAGCGTAAATATAATGCTTAGAGAGGATTCTTTAAAAGATAAGGTAGTATAAGGCTATTTAGACTTTACTAAATTTTATTAAAGAGCCTCTAGAGCATATAGCTTAGGACTTTAAAGGTTTAAAATGCTATAACTTAGAATAGCTAAAGTATTATTCTTTACTAGAAATAATATTTTAGATTTTCTTAAAAGCTATAAAGCTATAGTAAAAGTAGTAGAGATAACTAATGCTTTAAAAATACTAAGTATTGTTTTCTATATAGATATACCTTTTTAAGCTAATAATTAAATAAAACTTAGTAAGAAAACTTAGTTATAAGTGAAAATTTATTTTATTTAGCGCTATAGGGCTATAGATAAGGATTGCTAAGAACTTCTAGATGACTAGATTGAATAGATTGTTTTTATAACTTTAATAATAGATGATCTAAACTATGAGGTAGCTATATAGTTTCTATAAAAGATTGATAATATCTAAACTAAAGCTGTAAGATGTAACCTTAATATTATAATTAGCTTTTAAATTATCTAAGTA